TTATTTCGTATCTCATCTCAAACTTCAACCGAAACAACTTGGAGAGCTATTTTTTTTTTAATGAAGTTATTGCCAGGTAGTTTAGATCTATTGTGCTCGGTCTTAAATAAGACCTAAGGTTTCATTTATGATATAAATTAAACCTTAGGTCTTATCAACAATTTGCGATTTTGCCATGTTAAAGAGGAAAAAAAAAAGAATAGAATGACTGAATAATGACTAGAAAAAGCAGACTAAGTATTAAAAAATCTGCTTACAATACTTATTTGTTATGCTCTTAAGAAAATTTACAATGCAAATCCAAACTTCAAGTATGCTATAATGTATGGGTGTTACGTCAAAATATTACAATACTACGTACATAAGTTTCACATGTAATACTATTGTTGTTGGGGGTGAAGGGGATTGTTAGTAATGTGGACTGATGATCTTATTGCTAGCAATATATCATGTCAGGTTGACCTCCAAGCGGTTACCCCTGGAAACTAATGTTATAAATTCTTGGTGAATTTGTCACGTTTGCTAACTGACCTGACCTCATGCTCATCTTATCAACCTCCACTGGTGCCCCGCCATCGTAAACCGTTAGCGCAGGCGGGTGCACCATTCCATTATCAGCCATAAAAATATAAATAAACTATTGTTGTAAGTAGTATTAGTAATGGGAAAACGTTGATTGTCAATATTCTAAGACTTGGAAATGCTTTTTTCTGAACCGCTAAATGAATTCGCACTTGAAATTCTTCTTGGATTTTTTTCTTGGACATTTCAAAGAGCGCCATCTAGTACTACGTTAAGCAAAGCTTATGTTATGGTTACTAGACAACTGTTTTTTTTTATGACAATACATACGTATCGACTATGCATAGAAAACACCCTGACTGATACAAAGATTCATACTCATGATACAAATATTTGTGAATGTGGAATCAAACCCTCGACCATTGGAAGTAAAGCGGTGTACTAAACCACTACAACACTGAGGCCGTCCTATATTTCGATACTCCATTTATATAGCTTTATACATGTATAAATATTTTTTTCTACTGTATATACAAAGTCATATTGTTTCCATACGATATATATTATGAAAAAAGTATATAGTACAAGCGTAAAGGTCACGGAGAAAATATTATATAAAGACTGTGTTTTTTATTATATACTGAAACTTACCGCGGATGAAACCGCGGGAACAGCTAGCATTGTCTAAATAAAATATACATTTCAATACCTTTTTGTTTGACTGTACCGAGTGTTTTTCAGTACCACCTACGTTGTATATAAACAAACAATTTACTGGAGTGTTGCCAGCCTACGATAATTCATTCAAGACGTTATATTCTCAAAGGTGGGCTATTCTTAAGAAGCTAATCTGTAAATTACGAGTGTATAACGTATATTATTAATTTGATCACGCTTCATCTCTCCATCCCTTTCTATTTACATATACAGACGTAGTTTTGTTTCATGTAACGTTTGATAAACGTTATCAATTGACCACGTATGTGTGACATTTGTAGATACACCCCTTTGCTCTTATCATAAAAGCATAAAGGTCAATTTTGAACTATTATTTTATATTCTAATAGAGATAATCATTTACTTACATCATCACTTTTTTGTGTTCATTGGCAGTCGTCAAGATCTTTTTATATTTGGATATTAAATGATTTTTCCGTTATTTATTTACAGTTTTGGCGCTTTAATGATACAATCATAAAAGTACTCGACAGTTGTCGAGCAGTTTCGTCAAAAATCTGAGCTAACATTATATCGAAACTATTTGAAGATTCATACTACGCCACTGCGCAGTTTAGATCTGCTCTCCGTCGCAATTTAAGTAAATAAATAAATAAAACATTTTCGTGCAAATTAAGACATTTAACACATGATTGTTATAGAAATACCAATAAAAATACAAAGCTTACTAAAAATTATTTGTTGTTAAAATATCTCGTTGCCAGTTGGGTCTCGGAGTAATTTCGTTTGTTATAGACATTCGCATCGCCGGAAAGTTATTCAGAAATATAAATTAACACATTTTTCTGTGTTATCCAGATTTTAACAAACGACTACAATCTAAATTATCATAGAAATATAACTTGGTAACAGCGCTCTCTTTTTTCTTATATGTATAGATACTAGAAAAAATCCTAATAACCTTCATCTAGTGGCGTAGTATGGATTTTATGTGTGAGAGCTCTTTTCATCTTTAAGATATAGTAAGAATTGAGAAGAACAAAGCACAAAAACTGATTAGTTATTACGTTAGATTAGCTTCAAGAGATATCATTCGGAGATACTTATCTCTCCATCTTTGCTCATTTTTGTTTATTTTTAGCTATATGCGCAATATAAAGTGTGTATATTTATATAAATACATCTACGCAAGAGAAAGAAAACTTGAAATAAAACACCACACCACGCCACGCAACTGGAAAGTGTGGTAACAGTAGGCTAAAAACTTTTCTTATGCGAAGACACTATTGTATATATTTTTTTAACATTTTTTTTTATTTTGTTATAATGTGGCATTAAAAATACATACAACCCTAAAATTTCACTCTTCTACCATCAACCCTTATTTTTTAATTCATTTTGTATATAGTTATAATGTAATTGCAGTGCCCATACGGGGTATCACATGTACTTTTTATTAATAATAGCTAAAATGTGCCATGTGTGCTTCTCACATGGCACATTATAGCTATTATAAATAAATAAATAAAAAATAAAAGAAAAGTTGAAATAAAACACCACACCAACTGGAAAGTGTGGTAATAGTAGGCTAAGTACTTTTCTTATGCGAAGACCCACAGCAACGGAACGTATAAAAGTATTACATTATGATGATTTAAAATCATTTCCCTATCCTTATATGTGTTAACTAAATAACTCATTACTCTTCTAAACACCTTAGAATTGGTTGGAAAAAGATAATTGTATAATTAGGGATGTATCTCGATTAATTATCCCATAAAAGTATCTACCATAACTTAAAGAAACGTAACGGTTAGAACATTAAACATTACAGAACTAAATTTGTAAAGTATTCATGAAATTAGCTATATTATTGTAAGGTTTCATCAAAATCCGTTCAGTAGTTTTTGCGTGAAAGAGTAACAAATATCCACTCAACATCTATCCATATATATCATCATCCAATCTATCCATCAATACAGACAAATCTTGGCGTTTATAACATTAATAAGATTAGTAAGAAGTGACTAATATACGTAGGTAAATCTTTTGTAACTTGTGCTATGGATAACAAAAGGATTAACGTTTAAATTTTATGATGTTTTTATACCGGAGTATAAAGATGTTTCATATAGTTTGAAATAGGCAACTATAAGCGTCACAAGGAAAATTTATATAAGAGCTTTATAAATGTTGTATCGCTAACGTGACCAGACGTCCCGTTTTAAACGGGACTGTCCCTTTTTATAACAACAAGTCCCGGTGTCCCCGAAATTAACTCTGGGACGCAAAATTGTCCCGTTTTTGGAAACTCGGTGAAAATATGTTTAGTCGAGCGGGCCGGTTGTGATGTAGATTATTGTTGATAATTAAGGTGAATATAAAAAAACGTGCCATTTTTATATTGTCTTGTAGACAAGCAATTAAAGTTTTTAAATTAATTTAAATTATTTTTACCTTTAAAGTTTTAAATTCACAAAGAAGTATCATATATCATTTTAAAAGTATTTAGATAATGATTAAGACGGCGTGGTTAATTTAATTGACTTATAAAAGGTGGCAATTCTATATTCTAATTTTTAAAAATGACATTTTTCTATTTAATCGACGATACGTCCTCTCCTATAGGTTGTCTGTAAGAGACTGCCTATAGCGTGAAGACTGCCTATTGTAATTACTTTTCTATTTACTGTATTTTCTTATTGTTTATTTTGTGGACACAATAAAGAGTTAATTATTATTATTCTTTTATATATGTTACATCTCCCTTTTTACGGGGGTAATACTTTTTTTTAAAGAATTAGCTTTAATAAATTGTTTCCTTTATTGACTGTCTATTAATTCATATAAATAAATGTCCCGTTTTGACTCAAAGAATAAATGGTCACGTTATGTATCGCTATAAAGTTATAACTAATGTCATAGTTGCCATTAAGTGGGTAGGCTTAATCGAATCAGAATCAAATTTGTGTATTCATTATTAATATTTCTGCATAAATTGAATTTGAAAACAAGATGTCGCACCATTTGCCTTAAGTTTTGAGTGACAATATTGATTAAATTTATTTTAAACGATATAAAATCGATTATAATTATTTATAATCTATATATATAGAGGTTATAATAGAAGTTCGAAAAACAATTCAAACTATTACGTCACAGAGTAGAAAACAATTTACTCAAAGATTATGTCTACACAAACAAAAGGAGATTTTATTAATAAGGACAATCTAATTAACAAATTGCAACTTATGAAAAGATTGTCATATAGATATCAATACCTGTTTTGAAGCACAAAGCCTTGTTACTTCATTCTTCTGAATAAATACGTAGGTAGTAGATAGGTACCTATATGCACAACGCAATTAACTTAAAGGCGTCCAAATCACAGCGTCAAATTTATGTAATCGATTCTTAATAGTTTTTAATATAAACGGAGATTAAACCTTGTCATTGTGAAGCAGTGACATCGAAAATTACATACATCTACATGAAACATTGTGATTGCCAACTCAAACTACGATCTGACGATGTGGTATGAATATATACAATCTAAAACAACTTAAACACCTCCATGTGGTTTATATTATGAAAAACTGTTCACGTTTTATGTAAATACATTCAACGTCGAGCGAAAACTAGAAAGTTACACATACATGCGCGTACGCACTCACACAATGCCATAACACGGTGTGCACACGGCCGGCTCGGATTTATAATATAAACTCACATTAATAATACATTGAGATGTATAAAGCAATTTTTAAAAGCCAATTATTAAATGTAAAAAAACAACTCACCGTATCGGATTCCTCAAGAAAACCAGACTCCCACAACATGTTTTCGTTCGAACTGTCCAACACGAATCACTATTACGCGAAAAAAAGTTTTTATTTTATTATGTCAGTTAAAAAAACTAACTACAATTGAAAGTCTTAGTCCGATTCGAAATGCGCGCTCACAGAAATTGTTTTCATCCCGTGACGTTAACTGTTTGGGAAATGTTTCTGTAAAACACTAACGCGACTGCAGACTTGGGCGGTGTCTCGAAGCTGTATGCGCGGGCGCCGATCACCGAGCGGTTACGAAGCCGTCCGACGAATCGCGAAGTCAACCGACCGCGCCGACCCACTTTGATCTACTTCGAAACGCTGTGGTCGAACGGCGATTTTTTTCGCATTTTCCAATGAAATGGCTACTTGACTACACAGTATAGCAAAATAACATTACAAAACTGTTAATTAGGTACCTTTTTTATTATCTTTTTTATATAACAAATGCCTGCCTCAATAAAACTTTGTTGAATACTTTCCAATCATTTTAAGATTTTTAATGGACTTTGATATGGTAGAGGTTAATAAATTACTATATTTATTTCAATAATATTTATTCATATGTTACGTGGTGTATTATTCATGAATTCGTCTCTAAAATGCTTTAAATGATATCTTTCATAAGCTAATTAAAAAGCCACTGTAGATCTACAAAATCACCTACAGCATATTGTGATGATGACTGCGTAATGAGTGAATCTTGATTTAGAATTTATTTTTCGTTTGTTGTAGACTTTATAAAAAGCCTATGTAGTGTGGCAGTCTGTCTATTTAATTCTGTACCTGCTGGGTACCAGAATTGCTTTGTATGCTGTGTTTCGGTTGAAGAATGCGTCAAGAGAGTGAAATTACAGGATATGTGACATGATATCTTGTTCCTAGGCGACTGAAGAGATCCTTTAATACTAATACAAATACATTTATATCATTTATTTTATTTAAACTGAGCCAGACAAAAATAAAAAGGTATTAAGACCTGTATTCTGACATTTCTGTTCTCATATTAATGCCGACTTAAGCAAAACGAAGAGTAGGTCTGTACGTATTTACCTAAGACATTTACTTATTATGTACGGTGAATTAACATAATTGCCCACAATTATCCATCCAATAAATGTGCACTTAAAAACGTTAAAACTTAATACTTTTAGATATTATTGTTATAGTATATATATATGTATATATACTATATCAATAATAATATCTGAAATGATTTACCAATTTTGTAATTTAGAAGAATCTTAGTCATTTTTTGAAAACTCCTAACCATTAGAATTATACTGTTAAGGTTTAAAACAATAGTGTTTACATTCAACGCCAATAGATGGCGCTGTAACAAAATTGAAACGCGCTAATGTTTCGTTTTATTGATTTCTCATATGTTATTTGTAATATTTTTGTACCTGTACCTGTATTTGAAACCGACCAATAAACCTTATGTACACGAGTGTAGTGTTTTAGTTTATAGTACCCTTAGGACCCTTGTGGTTTTAACATTTGGTCCTTCGAGCCTTAATCAATAGTCTGCTGCGTTCGTCACAATAAAAGATATTATTTGATTCCAAGTCGTTACTTTCCCTTCACCGTCTCATTCTTTGATTACTCATCCACTCCATTAAAAGTTACAACCCACTGCGATATCCTTTTATAACTACTTAGCATACACTCTTATGTTGCTAGCCAAAATCATAAAACAGTCAAAGCTCTACTAAACCTATTTCTACTATTGAAATATATTGTCCTTTTCTATTGAACAGTTTTCCAAATTTGAAAAAAAGCGATAAAAAGTGGCAAATGTTTATAATTCTTGCGACAAAATTAGTGAAATGAATTGAATTCATTATGGTTAGTTCTAATATAAATTAAACAGTTTTAGATAAATAAATAATAAAGTACCAAAATTTTTTATGTTAAGTTTAAACGGTTTACTTAAAGTTTACTTTTAGTAAATAAATTATTTATGAGAAATGAGTAAATACATATAAGTATATTATATAGGAAGGATGTATCGCACACGTAGCTTAACAAATAAATTCAAACTTTATAAAATAAATAATTTTACGAGTATTGTTCGATATCGTTAGATGTAAGATATGTTTACTTTGATTTCCAATAACACAAAAACAATTTTGATTACTTCATTTTCAGTATAGATATTTAAACATTCATTTATACATAATATTTAAATTACATCACAGTAATATGAATAAGATCATCTTTAATCTACATATACTAAACAAACATTGAAAACAAATACTAAACAACTGAGGTGCACATAATTCTTAATGCACATAATACATCAAATATTACATCATACTTTAAAATGAGTTGACAAACTGTGACACTTTTGTGACAAAGGGTTGGAGGAGACACAAAGGTTAAAAAAGCCATAAATAATTGTAATATATAACAATAGATTTATGGAGAAAACACAAAATTTTACATTTAGGTACTGTTCATTCAATTGTTGAAAATCAACATATAAATATTTTAAATTATAAGTATGAACAATTATTTAGGTTCTATTATCAATGACTATACTTTTATGTGTGTGTGTGTGTCAAAGACATGATATTGTGTGTACTGTTATTTTTATTGATTCAATGTATTTTTATGCAAAATAAAAAAAAATATTAGCAATCTGCACTCCTTCTTTATGTTAATTATAATGTACGATATGTATGTATTTCATACTCCTCCGTACGCATTTATTCTCTTATTTAAAGAACATCGCTTTATACTAAATATATATTTATGGATACTTTCAATTAAAAAACATCATCAGTGACAACATTTAAAAGCACTAATGTCACGTAAAATTCTACTTCCTTCGGCGTGTGTGAGATGTCGTACCGTGAACGTATATACTTCTGCATACACTAAATCGCTAGAAAACCTCATTCTGGCAGTCGGTTGAAAACCTAATAAAAACATCTAATAATGTGTGTACATTTTGTTTAGTTAACCGGTTAAATTCTAAGAAACGTCCGTGGCATTGCTTGTCAAATATTGTACAATCAATTACATAGAAACCGCGATCGGCTGCCAACTCAAAACTTGTCGACTTATTCCGTAGTTGACTGACTCTGTTGCCTAGCGGTTTAGCACATTGTCTTACTTCCGATCGTCTCTAGTTCGAATTCTTGCACGATACAATCATTTGTATTTTTGATGTTCTAAATCTGCATGAAAAAAGATTCAAATGTCATATAAAACACTTTCTCTGTAAAAGTGCTTACTATTAAATTGAAGAGTTTGTAAAAGATAATAATGTTTTTGTAGAAAAAACTTAAAATTCATAGCACTGACAATATTATCTGATTGCACTAGTAATAAGTGTGTGGCGGTTTCTATGTTGATTATCGCATGCCTCTTCATATTGTGTAATTATTTAAAATAACATTTATTCAAAAAAGCAACACACTAGTTTCTTTCTCATTCTTCTTGTCTGAGTCTGTATTCCGAATGAGTGGTAGAATAAAAAAATATGACTATTCAAAACTGCTTGTATTGAGTTTATGTGAATAAAGAATATTTCTATTTATTAGTGTGGTTATTTAGGGTTACACTCATTGTCAACTGACATTGTGATGTACGCACTGTTTGACTTTCCCACATTTCTTTAGGTACATTTGAATCCAACGAGGCAGGGATCGTCCTTCAGTGCTTCTCTGATAATTTTTTTTCTTATTTATTTATTTAACGTTAATGCACAAAAACAATGTGTACATATGTCGGACTTAATACCTTACGGCGTTATCTACCAGTCAACCATGAGTGGTGCAGAGAAATATTATTTTGTAATAGATGTTTCATACATATATTTTTTTGACTGCCAGATTTAAACCCACGACCTTTTGGATATAAGTCGGGGTAGTAAACTACGATGCTATACACATCAGTATACACCGAATAGAAACGTGAACAATAGAACAACAAATCCGATTCCAAGAACAAACCAAGGTATTACTTGTCTAAATGCCTATAGTCCGTTATATCATACGTCAGAATCATGATCTAATGAGAGACTGACGACATGACAGACCCTACTATTGGCTATTAAATAAAGTTAAAAACTATATCTAAACACTTTAGTTTAGTCTTGATTAATTTAAAATGTTTCTCTATTAATTAATTTAACTAACACTTAAAGTCTGAGTTTAATTTGAATTTATAATTTAATTTTTTATTCATTTTGTCTTTAATATTAATTTGTTATTAAACTCAATTAACTGAGTTATTGATTTATTTTTTATAACATCGTAGTCTTCCGGAATGGCAACATGATAACGTGATATCTCTTCTACTTCTCATCAGACTGACCACCAGCTTGTTTGCCATTCAATTATATAAAAAATGCATAGATAAATAAAATGATTACACTCATTCTACTTAACTATAGGTACATTTACTAAATGTATATGATTTGGTCGAGGTCGAACGCCCAAATCGCATATTAAAATAAAAGGAAACAAACAATATTACGTACATCACATCATCATCAATAAAACACGAAGACTTAGTCATCGTCATCAAAAACCTTCAAGTCACAATTATATCTGCTAATATAAAGCAAAGCCGCTATTTTTGACTGTATCTTCCTCCACTTCTTTTAACCCTGGCAAGGGATTTTGATAAGATATTCTCTGTTTATCGAGATTTTTTCTATATGTATTAAACATCTACACTTTGTACAGCTTTTTACGAAAGTTAAAGAAAGAAGAGAAGGACCTGTTCCTTATATAAACTATAAATATGCGAAATTTCTTACTCCTCTAAGTTCATTCATTCTCCAGGAATCCTATTTTGTTTTTATTATGCGTAAAATATATTAAATGAATAGAAGAAATATTACACAGACTACTACACACGCAAATATATTCTTTTGTTTATTCATAATGTCTGTGGTTAAATTGAGAATAGATTAATTTTGTTTGTCTTTAATATTATTAGGCCATAATCTTACTGAACGTTAATTTAATTATGGTCGTATGGTCGTATTTGAATTTCGACCAGTTGCATCGACTAGTGCATAGTTACATGAGCCGCGTCACGTAGGTACTCTGTGCGAAGCAGAGTCGAGTTACTGGTTCTAGTTTAAAAATAAACATTAATAAAATCTATTTTATCTCATTTTTAATAATAATTATTATTATTCTATAACGACATTTCCTCGGTCTCGGTGGTCTAGCGATTTAGCACACCGCTTTATTTTCTATGCTTGCTCGTTCGATTCCACACACAATGCAAATCTTTGTATTCATGGGTATGATTATTTGACGCAGTCTGGGTGTT